TCTCAACGTTTCAACCTATTCTCAATGTTGATACAACGTTGTTGTGCTGAATGGGATGTTACTGCGGAATCGAGAACGCTTGAAATTATTTTCATGTTTTGACATCAGAGCTCTGCGATAAGTTGGTGGAAGATACGAACCGTTATTGCGAGGAGGTGAGGGCAGCAAAAAATGTGTTTCCTTTTGTAGATTAACAATTGGTCAGAAATTAACATTTCTGAGATCATACTGCTTCTTGTTTTGTTTGCTAATATAAGAATAAACTTTTCTGCGGGATCTTTCTGCGAGTATTGATGTATTATATTCTAAATGGAATTATGCAAGTATAGAGGAACATATTGAAATTGCAACCTCTTCTATGCAAAACGGCTGGAGCCATGCATTTCATTTTCAATTATTGGAAGGGTATTAAAAAACACTGCGATTGACTAGAGCAGACAAAGCGTAAAAGATTCGGACGGTCATAGGTTAAATTTCCGGCCTAGATTGGCCGCAAAATTGCAACAAAAACTTTGCAAGAAACAAATGAACGGATTTCAACAAAAGCACAGGTACAACTTTTCAATATTTCATGAAGTATTTATAAAATTAAGTATTAATGCAAATAGCATGCACTTCTACGCATACAGTATATTGGAATGGACATGATGAGGATTTGAAACAACCATTGAGTTATGTAAGAGGAATAGGCATTAGTCATATATTTTTAACATGTGGTGGATGTTAAAATATGGTGCTTTGCGAAGTGCTATTCTGGCAAATAACTAGAGTCTATTATATTTTTTCGTTTCTTGCACATTATCTGCATTTCCTAATAAGATGCTTCTTCTTATCGGTGGGGGGACAAGAACCAACTTGTGAGCTTTCACTCCTCCTTGGAGTCCAGATTCCAGATCTTGCATGGATGACATCCTCTTCCTCGAGTTGCTTTCTTACCAAGGCTCCTCCTGTAGCGTTGACAGTGCACTTGACATTGCAAAATGTAGCGATTCTCAGTCAAGTATTCTGCCAGTTTTGAAGAAGCGCTAATTCAACCCAGTTGAAGTCGCGCGGCGATTCGGATGGACTTCGTCGACTGCGCGACGGAAGAGAGGGATGAAGGGAATCCTGTGGACATCGTCTATTTAGATTTTGCGAAAGCTTTCGATACCGTTCCTCACAAGAGGTTGCGGTGATCAGGAGTCAGGAGTCAGGAGAGTTAGTGATNCACGTGATATCGAAATGGGCGAAATCGCCTCTTGATATCACTAACTCTCCTGACTCCTGACTCCTGATCACCGACCCAACAACAAAACCACCTAGCTTCTTCCTACCAGGCAAACCATGGTCCACCATCAACCTCATCAGAACTCTCCACGGCGCTGGAGCCACCAATCCAAGTGGAGATTAAAAGAAAATCACAAATGTGATTGTGACGCACAGAGTAAAACTATACAACATATTGTGAACGATTGTCCTATCAGAGCATTCAAATGTGACGTAAGCTGCATCCATTCAGCAGCCCCAGAAGCAATCGAATGATTTGCTAACCTAGACATTAAACTTTAATTGTTGCTACCCAAAACGCTATAAAAGAAATATGAAGTGAATATCATTGGAATGGGTATCCTTTGCAGAGTAATAACGTAGCACTCTCACTCTAACATGAATGAATGAAGCATGAAAAGCTCGGTGTACGTTAGGTTAGTTTACGCTGAAGTTATTTAGTATTTGAAATGATGAGTTCTTCATCAGAACACATACTTCCAACAGTTTTGAGGGAAGTGAAATGCGGACTAATAATAAATAATCAAATTTAAAATACAATTAAATTGTATTTTTTAAATAAAATATTTCAAAGTATCTTTTCAACATTCACTGTCATATCATGAATCATTCAAACTTTTTTTGTTGCAAGATTTACCATTTCCTTACGTTCAGCGATTACTTTCAAAATGATGTTCTTTCCAAGTTTTTGGAGATACGGAATGCATTCATTGGAAGTCCCATTTGAAAATAATAAAATAACCTAACCTACCTTTCCAATTTTTAAACCCGTCACGCTTGGATAAAAATGATAAATTTCATGTTCATGTTCATGAGTCAGCCGAGGAAGTGTCGGTGGTCCTTCACGTAGGGACCAACGATACTCCCAAGTCTGGCTCTGAACTCATCATGGTCAGGCTGAGGCAGGCTATTAGGGCGTGTCGGGAGGCAAGGTCGGGGGTGCGGGTGACGGTATGCGCGATCCCGAGCAGGCAAGACAAGGGAGGAATTACGTGGTCCAGGTCGGAAGGGGTTAACGACAGGTTGAAAGTGTTATGTATCGCGGAGGGGGCAGTGTTTCTGGACACTAGAGAGGCTTTGAGTCGCTGTAGAATTCCGATGGCTAGGGATGGAGTACATTTTTCGAAAGAGGGAGCTGTAGCAGTCGGATTGGCTATCATGAAGGAAAATGAGCCTTTTTTAGGGTTGTAGATGGGGGGTAAGGGACAGCCACTACGAGCAGCTTGAGACCGCCGCGTACTCGCGTACTCGAAGGAAGCGCGCTCATTCGGGACTCTCGACACGGCTTTAGTAGGCGTCGAAATTATCTCACCAATTTGCTCGAATTCTACGACTGGGCGACGGAAGAGAGGGAATCCTGTGGAAATCGTCTATTTCGATTTCGCGAAAGCTTTCGATACCGTTCCTCAAAAGAGGTTGCGGGTTAAACTGGAGGCGCACGGGATCCAGGGTAGGACGAGCGAGTGAGTAGTTGGTTGGCAGGACGCGAGCAACGGGTGATGATACATGGGGAAGCGTCCAAGGAGGTGGGAGTCGCAAGCGGTGTCGCTCGAGGCTCGGTCCTTGGACCGCTTCTGTTTTTGGTTTACATAAACGATTTGGATCTCGGCGTAGAGGGTAAGATAAGTAATTTTGCCGACGACACCAGGATCGGTTTTACCATAAGGGGGGAGGCGGATAGGGCTCGAGCCGAGCGAGATTTAAGTCTTTTGGACGAGTGGAGCAAGAAATGGCTCATGAGGTTTAATAAAAGTAAGTGTAATGTTTTCCACGTCTGTCGAAACAACGGTAGGTCTCTCGACACGTTCGGCGATGTTAAATTGGATGAGGCAAACGGAGAGAGATTTAGGAGTTTCTATCGACGAGGACCTCAAGATTTCCTCGCACGCGCAAGCGACGGTGGCCAAATGCAACAGGATTCTAGGTTACATTCATCGTTCGGTTGCAAGTAGGACATCTCGCGTTATTATTCCGTTGTATGCGGCGCTGATAAGACCCCAGCTGGAATATTGCATCCAGTTTTGGAGGCCTACAAATAAGGGCGATTTGTTGGCGCTCGAGGGAGTACAGAGGAGGGCCCCAAGAATGATCAAGGAGGTCAGGGGACTATCATACGAGGAGCGTTTAGAAGTGCTGGGACTGTACTCTCTCGAACGAAGGTTATGGAGGGGCGATCTCATTCAGGCTTTCAAAATAAGTAAAGGAATATATAATGTCGAGTGTGGTAGGTTTTTCCAGTTTGATGGCAGCAAGAGAACGAGAGGTAACGGACTTAATTTGCGCAAACCACAGGTGCGGCTCTGGTCGAGACAGGAATTCTTTACGTGTAGAGTGGTGAACGCGTGGAATGCGTTAGATGATGAAGTAGTGGCTGCCCTTCTGTGACTATCTTCAAGAAGAAACTAGATGTTTTCATGGACAGGCAAAAAGGTGGGGAGCAATATTGACATTAGGTACTAGACAGTAAGCAACTAGGATAGTCAAAAAGAAAAAAGAAAAATATAGCTGTAAGAGTGTTAGGCCTGCACTGAAATTAAGGAACGCTCGACCTCGACACGTGATATCGAAAGGGGCGAAATCGCCTCTTGGTATCACTAACTCTCTTGACTCTTGACTTTTGTGGCCTACACACAACTTCATCCGAATCGCCGCGCGACTTACTATGGAGCTACACCCTCTTGGAACATGTTATTATCCCGTCCCTTTGTGGCAGCATTTGCCTTGGCATATTCCTTATGTTTTCGGAGGCAATGTGATATGCACAATGGAATCTGCCCTTTTTTTGTTGATGGAAGTCTGATCTATATATATGGCACGGAGAAAACCTAATTAGGCCTTTTTCCGACGTGGCACGTGTACTGTGCTCAAAGGTTAGCCAGTAAACGCTAATAGTGTTCATGTGGTGCTGATTTGATGATCAAACGACAGATCCAATGCCATCACAACTCCTACTACGCTGGCGAGTCCTACTTTAATTAATAATGATTCTTTGTTTCGACAAAATATTTGTTTCACTTCATCACGTCTTATTATGCCCTTCCCCGCAAAAATTGCTTCCGTCTCAGTGGAACACGTCAGATATCTTGAGCCATTAAGCAAGAGTAATGCAAGTGATTCCAGTCTAAAACCGACTAAAACCATTCCTATCTCGGCTGGTGGTAGCGGGCCGAATGCCTCCAGTAGCGAAGGGCACTATTTCCCAAATTGGTTCTTGAAATATGTCTTAGAAGTGCGTTGAAATCAGTCATTTCGATGAAGTTTTGTTTTCTTATGCAGTGGTTCCACCAGAAGGCGAATGTGATCAGACGACAGATTGTGTGGAGAACGCCGTCTGCGAAGGTGAGGCTGAAGATTTGCGATGCAAGTGCAACCCTGAATTGGTGGATGAAGCAGGACTCTGCAGTAAGTCAACCCCTCCAACATCTTTAATTGAGTGTATTTCGTAAGAGCTGTACTGATAAAAGGATGACGACCAACATAATGCTATTTTGGTCCTTAAACCGAATTCAATGAATCATATATCATGAAAGGATGTCCATTGCAGAGTAAGAAAATTCCACTTTCTCTCCAATCTGATGGGTGTGAAAAAGTTTATGTTAGGTTACGTTAGGTTATATTGGGTTAGGTTACGACAATGTTATTTTGGATGAGTTTTCCATCATAACAATTCTTTCAGCAGTTTTGATGGAAGGGAAACCAGACTACAAAGAAGAAATCTAATAAAATACAATTGAATTGTATTTGTTATCGTCTCACAATCTATGAATCTCTAACTTTAATATAATGAATCATACAAGAAACTTTTTTTCTCGAGATTTTCCAATTCCCATCTGAAGTTCACCGATTACTTCCAAAACTATATTTATTATAAGTTGCTGACTATCCAGAATGCATTTATTGGAAGTCCCATTTGAAAACAATAAAATGATTCAACTTAACCTAACCAAACTCTTTGAAACCTTTCACATTTGGATAAAAATGATATTGAACCATATCATTTTTTCAAAAGTGAAACAGATTACATAAATATTAATTTCATGCAAATTGGTTAAAGGCCAAAAATGGGCTAACATGACCTACCTTTTTCAAATTGTTCAGATTTGGACAAAAAAATTACATTTTTAGGTTTGGCTAAGGACGACCTCTCAAGAAATATACATATCTTAAATGTTGGTTTAAGGGCAAAAATTGGGCATTCTCCTTTAACTCATTCAGGAAATCCATTTTCAGACCGACACTAACGTCTAAATATTTGGAAAATGCATTATTCCTCCTGAAAACCTCGACGATCGTTGTCGCACTCAATGAAGTCTGTATGTCAGTTTTTTTCTCTTTGCAGAGGTACCACCTGGAGTGGAATGTAATCAAACGTATACGTGTGTAAAGAACGCTATCTGCGTGGGACCTGCTGGCAATGAAACGTGTGTCTGCGATCTCAATTTTTCTTTGGAATTCCCTTCCTGCAGTGAGTCCAAGTTCCCATTCACTTCCTATCCGAATATTTAACGGTGGATTGTAATGGCTCTATTGGAAGAAACTATTGCGGGATAAATTCGTTCGATAAGCCGATACATTAGAGACGCCCCAATATAAAAAAACCTTCCTTGACCTTTCGTTTCTCTATATAGAGGTGTCTCCTGAAGGGGAATGTACGAAAACGGAAGATTGCGTGGAAGACTCAACTTGCAAAGGACTTGCTGAAAATCTGCGCTGTCAATGTGATGATGGATTCGTAGCAGATCCAAAATACTGCAGTGAGTTATATTCCTTAACCACCGGAATGACGTGCGTTTCATGAGACTTGAAAGGACGCAATGGAGTCTCACTTTGGGTCGGTTTTGTGCCGTTGATCTCGAAACATATGCAGAACTAGACGAAGTAGTGAAATCAAGTATTCAGTTGTCTACCAATTAATTTTTCTGTGCAGAGATACCTGCAGGAGAAGATTGTTCGAGAACGTCAGATTGCGTGAATAACGCCCACTGCTCGAGTTCAGACACATGCATTTGCAACGATGGGTTTGCCTCTACGGATGAAGGAATTTGCAGTAAGTCAATATCAATCCAAGTTAAGTGCATTTAGCGTGAGATTGCCATGTCATTAGACTATATCATGTTATCTCAACATTTACTGCATTCTTTACTTGACCATTCAGGATTTTCCATAAAATAATTGATAGGAAACAAGATATGACGGCACTAACCATGGATAATGGATTTACCGGTGAGAGAATAAAAAATTTGAGAAGATGAAGTACTTGCTAATTTTGACACCACTTTAATATCCATGGGCTGATGTTACAAGATACATGTTAAAACTTCGTTCCCAAGTGACCTTCAGATATGCTAAGTGTATTGTTATTAAGAGTTCTAAGAGTATTGCTTTTTCTGAGGGGATTAAACTCGAAATTGTATTAAAAGAAAATAGGCAAAAGTTTGACTAATGAACGGCACCCACTGGGTGGCACTAATAAGAACTCGAGTAAGGAGCTCTCGCTTGAACTACGCTTGTAATTGAGCTCTCGAGCTCAATTACAAGCGTAGTTTTTGTACGTGCCATGCAATGACAGCCGAAGAAGTGCAGATTTGTGTAAAGTCTATGAAGTATGAATCTTCTCTCATTCTGATTCGATATACATGCTTGAAGTCATCATATCATTCTTGCCGATTTGCAAGAAAATCAGAAATAGCCAAGAAAAAATGAAAAAGGTGGTTGATATTGCATGGTTTGCATTGAGAGATGGCATTTTAAAGTCGCCTTCACAGTTGCTGAAAAAGCTACGTTGCCTAGAATACGTTCAACTACGTAAATATGGAATCCAGAAAAAAATCACGTCCCTGGCGTTCTGTTTCTGTAGAGGTGGCAGCTGGATGGGAATGTTCGCAAGCAGAAGAGTGCGTGAGTAACTCCATCTGCAATGGAACTGTTGGTAATAAAACTTGTGAATGCAAAGAAGGGTTCGTGGAAGAGTTTGGAAAATGCAGTGAGTAAACTTCCCTAGTCACTCCTTATCCAATCATTGGAGATTCCAATGACATCATTGATAGAAAACTTTCTGGGGTCGATTTTCGTGTGACCAATTTTTCAAGGAGGACGTATGACGACCATATGACGTTCCTTACAAAAAATATTTATCTTAAGTAAAAATGGGAAGGTAAGACAAGGGTAAAAAATGGGAAAATTCCCTATTTTTTTACCTTAGTTTCACCTTCCGAATCTTAACGTTACCACCCCGCACCATTTACGAGTCTTTTACGTGTAATTTACAGGTTTTTTAAAGTCAAACTTCACATAAAAATAAAACCCTTGGTTTTTAGGTGACCACTGGTAACGTGGAATTTACGTCCATCTCTGAGCTTTGTTGATGACCATAACGTAAGCAAAACGAATCAGGATTTCTCTTCGGCACATATTGAAGGGAATATTTGGAACGGTTGCTACGTCCAGCGACCCTCTTGCCAGTAAACGGAAGTTTCCGCACCGTGCATCGCTGATGATCTCCACATCGATGACGTCATTTTACATATATGGAAGAATCACCAGAATGCCAACGCAAAAGTCGTTTTCAATAGACAGATTGCGAATAAGCATGACAATGGCACCTTTTTTAATATTGAGTTCATGAGGTGGTAAACCAATTGGGTTCGAGACATTGAGAAACATAACGGAAAATTGCCCTGTTTTCGATCATCGTCTTCGCTCTGAACTGTTTTACATTGTCAGTGCTATCATAAGTTCTCCATGCTCTTTCCAGAAAAAATGAGAAAAATGTCGAAAAATGAGCATTTCCGTTTGGTGAACCAAACGGAAATGCTCATTTTTCGGGTAAACACTTGTGCGCCGACTCAGCAATTCTACGTCGGGTAGGCGAAGATTTCGACCAAACACTTCCTTAACCAAATTGTTTGTTAGGAAGCGATCGGGGAGACTCACAGAGATTCTTGATGTAGCCCTGATGTAGCCCACAGCCCTGGGAAGTGTCATTTCCGAGCTCAAGCAACCAATGTGTAAACTCAACTTCATCGGCGTTAGCTCGCATCCCATTCGAAAAAAGTACTACAGTAAGCCTATATATATTTCTTATATCACAACATATTACCAGGACTCTAAAATCGAATGGCCGTCGAATGGCCAGAAAAGCTCTCCCATGATCCACTTCTCAACATCCACAGAGACGCGCAGACATCACACATCTTTAGCCGAATAAAAGCCAATCATGACCTTCCAATTAATGAGGACCAAGAAAATCCGCTGTGGACCAGGCTAAAATCCCGAAACATGCCCTGGATCTATTGCTCTCGACGCATCCACCTTTGACCTGAAGGAACAGTGGAAAGCCATGTGATTCAAAGACATCGTACCCTACAAAAGGCGCGTTTTTGATCCCACCACAGAAGTTGCTGACTTCGACCTGCCAAGGAAGCAGTGGACCAAGCTCAACCGCTTCCGCACCTCGCATGGCCGATGCGTTCGCCTCTTCCACCGGTGGAAAATCAAGACCACCCCGAGATGTAACTGCGGTTTTTGAAGATCAAACCATCCAGCATACATTATACATTAGTGACCACTCCCTTCGTCTGCAGAAATCACAGGCGATATCCATAAACTTAACCCAACATCCTGCAACTGGATCTCCAACATGACATGAGCTTATAAATAATGCTGATTCCCCGAGGCATACGCAAGAAGATTAAATAAAACCTATAGGTCCTACGAGAAACCTATAGAATACTTGACGATTCCTATAGGAATCTATGGACTGATGATCGCATGGATGAATACATGCTTCCTATGGGAACCCTATAGGATTCCTATATGTTCAATAGGATTTCTATACACTCCTATAGGACTTTTTCGCAAGAGGAACATCTCTGCGTACCTCCATGCTGGACTGCCACCAATATTTGGTCAGCCGCTTCGTGCTGACACTCATTGAGTATCGCGATTTTCTTGTTGCCGTGGATCCGCTCTTCAATGAACTCGTATTTCACTGCACGAACAATGTTCTCGGCATCTGGAGGCACAGGCATTCCCTTCTCAGCGCAGGAGGTTCCACCAGCTTGTAGCATCTTTCCTATCTCACTCTGCGCCAACACATTCGTCAAATCTTCGGTATCACCACCGCGGAAAGAGGACAAAGTCCACAGTCATATCAGAGCGGTAGACGTTTCAAAGAAGTAACGGATCTGCGGGGATACAGTGAATGCGGATCATAGCGTCCAACCCGCGCAGCGCCATAGGCATCATGTACAGTGTGCTGTGAGCCATACATCAGTTCCATGCCCCGTCATCCTCGATGAGTACCAACTCGCGCACCGCATCGAGAAATGTTAGAAACACTACTCCAATCACTGTACACAAGTGTTGAAACAGGATTGTCCGACCCATTTCGGTAGTCTGTTGCAAGACATTTCAGGCGAAAACCCTCTTGAAGGAATCTTCCAGTTAAGCGGTGTACAACTTCGCCAAGATGTTTCATGAAGCAAATTTTTATAATGTTTGCGAAAACAATTCTAGCCTGCAAGCGACTGTGCGTCCCGTGCCAAAATTTAGAGTATCGGAACCGCATTCAAGGAAGCTGAAAGAATGCTTCGTGCAGTACGTACAGACACTCGCTGGCCAGAAATGGCTTTTCAGTTTTAAGACCTGCTTCATTATTAAACTTCTTGGCAAATTTGTACTCTGCTTAGTTGGTGGATTTCTTCCGGGGATTTTCGCATGAAATGTCTTGCAACAACATGAATGGTCGAATGAGTCTACTGATATTCTTCAACTATGAGTATTCTTTTTTCTTCAGTCATTTGCACCACATCAACAAATCTGAAAATAAAAAAGGCGGTGTTGATAAAACTTGTTGAGTAGCGCTTTTTAATAGAATTAGTCTCAGAAGTATCGAAAGAAAAATAAGAAATTGATAAGGATTTGAAATGCTGTAAGTTTTGTGCCCCACACTGTATATAGACGATCGTGAGTGACTGACCGACGCTAATTCTAATCATGTTCTGGAAATGATGAGGGGCTAACACTTTGTAGGCGAAAAACAGTTAGATTGGTGACTAAAGAAAAATTCCAACTTTGGAGGTACATACCATGGGACCGTATTTTGGGGGGATGGATTTTGTAAGCCTAGGCCTAACACACGGACGGGCGGACGCTTGAGCCTATGCTCCCTTACACGCACTTCCTTCAACGAAACTGAAAGACAAGTGAATGGCTGGTTGGTTGCCGATTCCAGAGAAAATGTGACGTCTGAGATACATGCCTTGCGGGCACATTTCTGGGGGGGGGGGGGAGTGATTTCATAGGCCTGGGCATAACCAGCAGATTGATGCTTAGGCTTACACCTCTATTTTACTTTCTTCCTTCTTACGAATCGGGAACACGGATAGCTGATGGTTTGCTTACAACAGGTATTCTCCAACTTTCGGGATACCTGCCCTGGGGGCATATTCGAAGTGGACTGATTTCGCCTAGGCCTAACCCACGGATCGACCCCGAGGCTAATACCACTATCATAATTTTATTCTTGCAAGGAACCAGGAAGGAAAATAAACAGCTGTTGGAATCTATACTATACAGTAGATGAAGTTCGAATTTGAAAGATACGTGCTCAAGGGACGGACTCACTAAGCCTATAGAGACGCTCAGGCCTAAACTAATCTTAACCCAATCGCTACCAGGAACTTCTCCTGAGGCGCGAGGCCTTTTGGCCAATGTCTTTCTAAGTAATAGACTTTGTGGTAGGACACATATTAATACAACGAAACGGGAACATGAATAGATATGGGCTTGCTTTTAAAGAATGACGCATTTTCTAATGAAATAAGTAGCCTTAGGAAGTATGCGAAAGGACTCAAGAGTCATTGTGCCCGAATATAGGTATATACATATATAAGGATAAAACTCCCCATAGTCTACAAAGAATTATTACGTTAAAACGCTGTAGTAATGAACTTGTGTGTCTGCTATTATGTATTTTTGGGGATATACATGCCAAGAAAAGTGACATCACAGGCAGAAATTATATTCAATATAGGAACACTATACGCCACAGTGAATTTTTACCTAGTTATCCTCACTTCTGCATTCCCATACCTGACTTCAGTGTCTAAGGTTTCCTTGAGTCATATATTGCAACGAATTTATCAAAATTCCAAGCTTTCTTTATACAGTGAGGGACAAAACTGTTGCAATGTTCGACACATTGCCAGTTTATGACTCACATCTCGAGTATGACGTGTTCAATTTAGCTTAAATTTCAGTCATTCATACTCCTACTTCCTGGCTCTCGATTGGCGCTAGTCACATGTCAATTTGCCTCCTATTGTCTAAGTGGCAGTTTTTCAAGTCGAACGAGGTCATTACAACAGTTTTGTCCCTTTCACACAGGCATACGAAAAAACGAATTTATTAATACTTTGTGTGCTTGCCTTTGGCCTTCAACACTGCCTGAACCCTTCTAGGCATGCTTTCAATCAAATCCAAGCATGTTTGGACTGGAATGGCGTCCCACTCAGTCTTGACCCGCTGCCAGAGCTCGTGGATGCTGACGGGCTCATTCTCGTACCTCGCCAGCATCTGCTTCAAATGTTTCCACAAGTGCTCTATTGGCCTGAGGTCTGGCGACTGTGCTGGCCATTCTAGGATCTCGATTCCATGGTCCTGGAACCATTGGCGAGCCGGCCGCGAGGTGTGTTTCGGATCATTGTCCTGCTGAAACACCACCTCTCCCACTTCGAGGCGGTAATGCGCCAGTGTCTGGAGAAATTTTTCCTCGAGGATGCTTGTATAGAGCCTGGCATCCATTCTTCCTTGGATTTGACAGCCAAACCCGACTCCTTTTGCCGTCATGCAGCCCCAAAACATCAGGCCACCTCCACCATACTTGCGGGTCTCCCTCACGTGCCGCTCTGCTAGGGCTTCGCCGGGCTGTTTCCATGTCCAATCACGCCCATCCGACCTCATAAGGTTGATTTTTGTCTCGTCTGACCAAATTATGCGTTTCCAGTCCTCTGCAGTCCAGTGTTGGTGGCGGCGGGCGAATTCTAGCCGCTGTCGGATATGCCGCGGCTGGAGTTGCGGCTTCTTTCGCTTGGTTGTTGCCCTCAGACCAGCTTCTTTCAGAGCTCTGCGAATGGTTTTGGCACTGCATTCTACCGAGGTACTGCTTTTGAGCTGCCTCGTCGCTTGCACTGCTGTGTCAACCTGACCCGATGTCACCATCCTGATGACTCTGCGCTTGTCGGCGGCGGAAAGCTTGGATGGACGCCCACCATTGCTCTTTGATGCGTCGGGTCTGACTTGAGAACGCAACTGGGATACGGTGCTATAGCTTATGGCAAGCTGGGCTGCAATTCGACGCGTCGAGAGGCCATGGTCGACGAGTGAGGCGATGCTGTCGCGAGTTTGTTGGGAAACAGGTTTCATGCTGCCAGGAACGTTCAAATGGAACCCAACCCCACCAAAGCCTACAACATCTACACCTAGGCAAGCTACAGGCTGATATATTTGTAACGCTCGCGGTTGTCTGGCGTGGCCGGTAGTAACTCGTACATCGTTTTACTTTATTAGCTACCTGCAAACTACCTTGACCGTCGCGAAACAAGAAATTAACATAAAAAAGGATATTAGAAATTGTCCTCTTGGGATGGTTCGTATTGGTCGGACGGAATAAGTAGCCGTTAGACAATGATTCCAACAGACTGGGTTTCACACAGGATTTCGTTTATTCTAATCTAATATTTCATCGTACAAAGTACCCAAAATAAGAATGTACAGGATATTTCTCAGCACAACTTCGCGATTGAAAGCTTTCGCTTTAAAAGGTGATTGAACAAAAGTGAAGATATGTTTTACCCTTCTCTGAACAAGAAATTCTTCAGCTCACCCCCTCGATGCAGCACTTTCGCGAGGTCCTGTGATTTGTCCAATCACGGCTAAACAACGAAACCGGAAGGGGTTACTCGGGCTCCAACCCTCCCCACGCCCACAATCCGATTTCGGCCTTGCTATTTCTATACGTCCCTCCTGGCTCCAACCAGCAAGGAACAGAATCTGGCCCCAACCAGATCCATCCAAGCCCGGCTACAACCAGCGCTTATGCATCTCGGCTACAACCGAGTAGAAATAGCAAGGCTATGATTTACCAAGGAGGGACCATAACCCGGTGCCTGATGATAGCAGCAGCAGCGAAGTCCGGAACCCTTCACCAACCTCCACCTCCTCTCCCTCTCTACCCTCCAAGTCGAGTTTTTATACTGTTCTCCATATCTGTCCTTGTCACGGTAAACTCAGACGCTGAATGGTCGGAAGACCGGAAGGATGTTACCGAAAACGGATTCAGGAGATTTGGAGGAAAGTGGTTGACCTCTGATCCCTCTTGACAGCGGAATCGCGGCAAAGTCATAGATTTCGCGAAGACCGCCAGATTGTCCTCACTTGTCGCTGTCCTTCAAGGACCGTAGCCTGGCGCCTGACTGGGGAAGGCAATAAGTCATGGCGGGCGCTACACATTCAACTTAAGATTTATGGGTTAATTAATCAGTTTCACATTAAACCCTTAAGAACATAGGTGCCTTAAATTATAATTGAGACGAACATACTCGTATCGTTTTTCGTTGAAGCAGCATTGCTTCTTCATCCTCCTTTCAGGGCTTATCATGACTATTTAGTCTCTTCAAATTGTGATATCTAGGACTCCCTAGACCAGGTGAAGAATGTCTGCCTGCTATTGGATGTTATGACGGGAATTATGTGGAAGGATGTCTTCAGAATGGGGACGGAAGATATACGTGCCAGTGCGAGGGAGGATACTTACCGGATTATCACGATTGCAGTGAGTATCACCAATGAATGTTGCTCCTCCATCATATAACTAAAATTGGGACGTAAGCACCTATTCCCTTTTAGGAAAGCTTACGTTCTCATTGTAATTGAGTGTGTTTCCACGTCCTATCCCTTACCTACTTTAAGCATTCTCATGAAAGCTATATGGTAGAGGCACCAGTTTGTGGACGGCCACCAAATTTTGGACAGTTTTCCTTTTCTTGCCATTTCACAAAATTCACACCCAGAATTTACGAAGGAGTGTGAAACTCTACTGCAGAAGAACATATCAGGTAATGTTGCACTTGTCCTCTTTATGTCAATCTGCTTGAAAATCTGAATTCCATATGAACATTTTGAGTGCCATAGTATTTTTTGGGCTACCATGTTTTCAACTCGTTGAAATTATTTTTTCCGACATCAGATAGATTTTTTTTTAAGTTGCCAAAAATGCTCCCATTCAGCTGAGACGTCAGATGTGGAATAAATAATGACTGCTTGTTACGGCATGGAGAGAATGTTAAAATAAGGAAATCTCTTGTTTTGCAGCTACGATTTTTGTGAAAATTTTTTTTTGGATAGTTGATGCGTTTGGTGAGAATTAACAAGTATTTTCCATTAGAGCAAATTCAGAGGAGTCATATTGTGCATATCCAAACACTAGCCGCGCAAAAATATCTGGGACAGGAAAAGCTCAACCATCGAGCTTGTGCCAAAGCTGAAGCTCTCTGCAAATTCTATATTGCATTGAAGATATATTGTATTTCATTTTTTCGATTGAAGGAATCAACCTAAAAAGTGGCATTTTCAAGATTTGTTCCCATAGCAAAAGATGTTATAGCAAACATGGAAAAAGTGATGTACATGGGTTCTGCAGGGTAATAATATTATGAAAATTTCCCCTATGGAAACCCATACAATGACGATAAAAAACACGGGAGACGTAAGAGAATCTATGGGTTATGCAACAATAATGCAGCAATTGCAGCACAATTGGGTGTAGAGGAAAACACATTTTTATTCCACGCGAATCGCACAAATATTATTTTCAAAGGAATGACTCAGTGTTTCACTCTCAGAAAGTCTGCCAAACGCTCTGAAATTCACGACAAACATGAGTGTGTCTATTTGGTATGCAACCATTACGAAGCAGTTCCAGCACAAATAGGTTTAGAATGCTAAAAAAAATATATTCCACATGAGTAGCACACATTTTTCTCAAAGAAAAAATCAGTGTTAACCTGTCAGAAACCAACCAATCGGGAATAATGGATTCACAAGAGACTTCTTGAGAAAACACTTTAAACCTTTTCCTCAGCAATTCAAGCAAGATCTTCGCAAGTATCTATCTGAAAGGGCTGATACTGCATTTTCGTGGTTGCATTAGTTTGGAGGTTTTTTTTATAACTTTCCTGTATATACAGCTCGGATGTGCGGCTGTTGCAGCACAGAGTGACCGCAATACGATCCCGGTGATGATGACTGTTTACCGGTGCATGGGCTTCTTTCCCATAACTTTTCTTAATTAATCCTAGGGTTTAGCTTATCCAGTTAGTTCGGGTTGGGTCAGGTGTTATTTGACTAATGTGTCAAGGCCAAGGCCTGAAGGTAGCAGAGGCAATCTGGGCATAACTTCGGTATGTCAGTGTAGGACACAGTTAACTGAATGTATGGTAGGACCTTTTCCCTGGGCTACGTTTTTTCTTGCATAGGCTTGTTTCGCAACTGGCCTTTCCCCAACCCCCCCCCCCATTTCTTTTCCCTCATAGGCTTGAGCCATTCCGAGCCATGCTCTCGCTCCTTTTCCTTCACAGGCTTCAGTCTACCATACATTTCAGTCGCGAGGCTGATCAAGCCAATCGATCGTTAACTGTGGCACTTACAAACGGACTTAAGCCGTGATTGCCTCTGGGACATTAGGTACAGTCTAACTGTTTAATTCTATAGGCCGTAGCACCTGGCAGTAGAAACTTTCTGGGTAGGGTTTGTTTAGTCAGACTTGCGGCCTCAACCCCCTGACGACGCAGGCTGCCTGACAAATTACCAGGATGGGATC